AAGAGATAATATAGACAATATAAAGTTGTAAATTTTGTCATAAAAATGTAAAGGTTGTGAAACTGCAGTACAGATAGAATGTAAAGAGCTTTCTTTATAGTCTTTTTTCAGTGTTTTTCTGACACACTGTGTGTTGATTCACAGTTAGCACGAGTGTAGCTCTCGACTCGAGCCATGTCACATTTCTCTCTCGGTGACATGGATAATGGCACGTGCTTTACTAAAGTGCGAGCACATTGATCGAAAAAATGAGCTGAAAAAAAAATCCCTCAACTTAAAATTCCATTTAAGCTCTCAAAAACAGAGCTGAATAAATGAACAGGATGGTATAATTAGAACACACGACAGCCAGTGTCCAGTACATTTCAGCTGGAGTGCAGCTTACATCAATATATTTATGGCAATGCACCGTAGTCAATATAAACAAAGTAATGGCAATGTGCTTTCCTTTGATAGATGCCTTGTTTATTGATGGAAAAGATTTGTATAAAGAAACAACCATTAGGAAGATTTAATGTTAAGCATTCACAATTCTGATTTTGTGTTTAGTTTATATCATACATACAGGTAAAACATCTGGAAATAATTTTTTTATTTTATGGTTCAATATGATTTGACCTACTGAAATCAGCTGGGGAGGTGCCAACATGAATCCTGTTTTACTTTTGCTTTCAAATATATTAGAAGTTCTATTAATTGGCTTGTGATTTTAATTATTAGCTCTGCAAAGCCCTATGAAGCATGCTGCATTAGGTTCTGTGGATAAAATGTTTTTATTTCTGACCTTGAGCCAGAAATATTCAGATTTGTGAGGCCATGTTTGGTCATATTTCTAAATCACAGAGGCAGTGTTGTTTTATTCTTCCATAGATCAAAATATGAGGCTGAGAATATCTTTTGCCTACAAGTGTATATTTACAAATGAATGGTTTTAATTCAGACAAATGATTCAATTCGCTGATGATGTCAAAGGCGTGATGACAAATGCTTTGCCTGGCATAGCGCCACAAATGATTGGTTTTCTTTTGCATCAAGATTAAAGATACATAGATCACGATAAACCGCTTCGGTAAACCAATGTGGCCTAGACATCTCTTCATTAAGGTCATTGAACAAAATAAAATGTGCTTAAAAATGATTCTTTAATGCATGTGATTATCTGTTTGAGTACAGAAGGAACCATAAGCACACAAGCACATTTAGTTTTTACGTACTTGGAGTAGTCACCTATTCATTCATTAGGAATAGTAATGAATACAGATTGTGTAATTTCAGAGAAAATAAATATTCTGTTTTAAAACAATAGTAACAATCAGAGTATTTTCCAAAGGTTTATCTCTCGCTGTAAGGTGGTATACTTTAAAAAAAATTAAGTATAATTTCAATAGTTATCAGAATTGATTTAAATGACTATTTAATTTAATTGCACATTTTTGCCTTTGACTGTATTTTATTCATGCAAACCGTTCATTATTAGGAAAAAAAGTGAAAAATATGTATAGTGCAATATGTATAGAGAGTAAAAAAAGAATTGGCCAGGGGTGTATATGAAGATAGAGGATGCTGCTCACCTTTTGGTAAAGACTAACTGGGTCACATTGTGTTTACATTATTTTCTCATTTTAATTCAAATGTGACAGACTTTAAACAAACATGTGATACTTGACACATTAGCTAATCATAAACTACCATTAAAGCTAAAGAATGTGGGTTATTCTCAACCTAAAGTCTGATAAAAACCAACTGTAAGAACACTCTGAAAGCAGGATTGTAAAAAAATTCACAGAAGTCATGATTTATTTAGCTTAAACAATATACATGGAACATGCATAGAGAGAAAAAGAGAGGAAATGGGGGAGGTCTGAAAGAGAGGTGTTTTTTTATTGATCATAGAAGTCTAGACATCATGCCAAGATCCAAAGAAATTCAAAAACAAATGAGACCAAAAAAATACAATCTCTCAATCTGGAAAAGCTTATGAAACCTTTTCTAAAGCTTTGGGACTGCAACGAACCACAGTAAGAGCCATTATCCACAAAGGGCAAAATAATGGACTAGTGGAGAACCTTACCAGGAGTGGCCGGCCATCCAAAATCACTCCAAGAGCGCAGAGACAACTCATCCAAGAAGTCACAAAAGACCCCACATCATCCAAAGAACTACAGGCCTCATTTACTTTGGTAAAGAAGTATGAAACAGACTGGGCAAAAATGGTTGCAGTTCAGAGAAAAAAAAAACACTGCGGGTTGAGCAAAAAGAGAACACAAAGCAAAAAGAACATAAAGGCTCTTCTCACTTTTGCAAAAAGGACTGACGAGACCATTATCTGTCTCGCTTACTTTGGAACATTATATCAACAGTAAAACATGGCGGTGGTAGTGTGACGGTCTGGAGCTGACTTACTGCGTCAGGAACTCGAAGAACTGCTGTGATAAATGGAACAATAAATTCTGCTGTGTGCCAAAATATCTTGAAGGATATCCTCCCATCCGTTCGTGACCTCAAGCGTAAAAACACCAGTTACTCCACTTCTGAAAGGCTGAAGAAAAACTACATAAAGACTTTGGAGTGGCCCAGTCAAAGTCCTGACCTGAATATAATTGAGATGCAGTGGTATGACCTTAAAAAAGCAGGTTCATGCTTGAATACCCTGCAATATGGCTGAATTACAACAATTCTGCAAAGATGAGTGGGCCAAAATTCTCATTGCATGTTATCGAAAACGTTTCATTGCAGTTGTAGCTACGAAGGGTGGCCAAACCAGTTATTAAGTTTCGGGGGCAAACACTTTTTCCTACAGAGCTATGTAGTTTTGGATTTTTTTAAAAGAACTTTTACCTTAAAATGTGACAAACATGCTTAAAAAGAACAAACCAGTAAGGGGTCAAACATTTGTTTACACCACTGTATATCCTGTCTCAGGAACCAACCAGAAAATAGGATGATGCTCAATGTGTGAATATCAGCCCTGTTGGTTTCTCACAGCTCATGACCCCTTTAACTGAGCTGACATTATTTAATTTTTTCAATGTTCAATTAAAACAAAAGATTTCAAATAGATTAAGTAGTGCTGAGTCATTGTGTGCTTTTGCAAACACCATATCTGTATGACAACAACTCCTCGAGTCAGACAACACTGTGTCCTGCAATACATTTTCAAAATTCACTGGATATGAGTGTCCTTGGGTTGTCCTGGATGGCCGCCTTCACCCTTCTGGACTCCCAGATCTATTTACAGTCCATCTATGTTCCTGCCAAATAAGAAGAGTTCAAATAGAACTGTTGAGGGCCACTAGAGAGGAACTCATTTTATCACAATATATATGCTGAGAAATCAATGCAGCCTTTGAAATGTCTGCTTCTTTATAGGCCATCAGAGAAGTGTGTGGCAAAGGGATGAGGCAGTGAGCTTGTGCCTGGTTTGTGCTCATTTTTTATTCCCTAAAATTTGAAACAAACAAAATCAGCCCAGGACTTGATGTTCTGTCTCCCTAATGGTTTCACTTTTAATGAGTTCAAATAGAGTATTGCATTGCAGTTGTAACATTGCCTGTCGGTTTCCTCAGTGGTAAAATATCCTTTTTATATTGTAATTTGAACAATTTGTAATTGAGACGCTTTTTTTGATTTTAACTGGGGAAAGAATTGCTACCATACTTTTTTGACACATGAAATGATGAGCATAATCTCAACCCACCAAGATGCTTTGATCTTTAGCTGAAATATTTAGTTTGTGACAAATCACTTCAAAAGAGCCTTCTTGTCTCTTTCCTTGAGAACGAATGACAATGTTATTAGAAATGCTGAAATTTCAAAGGGCTGATGTGCTAATTATTTCAGTGCTATCATTAAATTGGAGCAAATGAAGGTTTATGAAATAACCTTGTGGTACTGATTAATGCCTTTTGATTGGTCTTTAGACTGAAAAGTCAAATATTAATAGAGGGTTAGCTTTCATATTCAAAAATTAGTGAATTGCCTTAATGGCACAACTATTTTTTTATTTTTGACAGATGAATAGGATTTCTAAAATGGGATATCAAATGCAAATCCCAATTTTAAAGGTGGTTGTGCAAATAAAGAAACTTAAATGTCAAGTATTTTGCCTTTTTCCAATCTTCACAGGTATTTTTTATGTAAACGTTACATGTCTCAAAATTAAAAAAAAAAAAAAATATATAAAAACAAAATTAGCTTGATTCTCTGAAAAATGACGTCATTGTTTCCACCCAGTTTCAAACTAGGGATGTGATAACCACTACACTACAGGAACAAAAATAATTTGCCACTGGTTAACAACACACATCATTCAAACATCTCCTCTTACCACCACATATCTGCTCTAGAGTGGTGAGTGCCCACACCATCTCATGGTTCCAGGTTTAAACACTATATTTTTCACAACCCCTAAAAATTTCTTGCCTTTAAACATGACCAATTACTAACTTTTGCTTTTGTATTGTGCAGCTCCCTGTGTGGTGTTTGCAGGCCAAAACAGGCCAAACTGAATAAAAGCATGAAGGGGCTTTTATTTTGAAATGTGTTTACTTACTGTTCCTGTGCCAATCCGGAAGTGGAAATGGGGAGGTCAAAGGAAGGGAATAAAAGAAGCATTAGCGCTGTGTTTGTGAGAGGGAAGTTAGGGGTGATCAATTGTAGTGCCACAGACAATTTAATGGGAGAAGTAATTTTTGTGGATGACTATTAATTCTGAAATTTATCTTTATTTACAATTTTTGATTTCCTTTTTTTGTACGGGGTATGTTTTTGGATATATTTTTTTCATCTGCTGGTTTGCACAATGAAATCACCTTGCCCTAGAGAGCACTCATTTTCTGCAGTTTACATTTACATTTACATTTATGTATTTAGCAGACGCTTTTATCCAAAGCGACTTACATTGGGAGTAAACATCAAGCAGTTGATAAAAAAGTGGAGTACAAAGTGGATAAATATAAACGCAAAGGTGGCTTGGTTTTTCTGAAAAAATTACATGTCGTTGTTTCCACCCAGTTTTGAACTTGGGACTTTTTTGCAGGTGAAGCAAATGTGATTACCACTACACTACAGAAACGTTAACAATAATATTACATTTTCCAATTGTTATGGGAAAATAAAAAAAAAAAAAATCATGTCTCCAAATTGAAATAAAAATTTTAATGAGAAATTTTCGTGATATGTAATAACCACTACACAAACTCAAACGTTAAGAATTATGCCCTTTTTTCCAACCTTACGGGTATTATTAAAACCCATATAGTTTTTGGCCACATTTAACAAGCCTGACCCCTGATAATAAAGTAACACCATTGAATTCTTATTAAACATCCCAACGGTCAGTCATCATTTATTGTTGTTATACTTTTCAAAAATGTCTCCTGAGCAATGATATTGTGCTGATTTTGATGAAAACGCTTACACAACAGCCATTAGTTAATCAGATGTTTATATATTTCTATTAAGAAGAACTTTCCCTCTGGATCTATCTTCTTTACAGGTTCTTTTTACTTGCTGGTCCCTCTCTCAGCAAAAGGCCTAAGAATTGCCCATTCAGAGTTGACCTTCCTTCAGGAAAGGTTGGGATGATGCCTGCCTCCCTTCACCTGGAAGGTCCACTTGCGCGTCACCGGCTGGTGGATGATAGATTGTTAGGCAGACTCATGCTGACAGTTGGAGTTCTATAAGGTGCTGCCAGAAGTCCTTCATGGCTCAATACAATACTCTCCTAGGATCTCTCCACTGGACAGAATATTTGCAATATAGTCAAGATAAAGTTTATCTCCAAGTGTTAGCACATCCAGGAATATGCCAAGACGCTGGAGGATCTGCAGGCATTTGCTAATTTTGTGATAGATGATTTCATGATACACATCCAAGCTTCCCCACTAGTGATCCCGCATGCTCTTCCGCCAGAGGAAACAGACCTGTCCTTGATTTAACACTGAGCTGCATCTGTAGTTCGACCAAACTTGGGACCCAAGTGGACCCAAGAAGCCCGTTGTAGAGTCCAGTGGAATGGGGAATGCTGTCTTCAAGCAGGTGTCTAATACCCCTGATGTATAGAGTGATGTAAATGCTGTGACCTAAAAGTGTCCACACTCACTAGTGCTCATTTGGAACAGAAGGTGGTTAACTAGATGTGAATTAGGGGGTGCATATGCTTCCTACAGGTTGGTTCCAGGAGATATGAGCACCATAACTGTGATTCCTGTGATTGAAATGATTTCCTGAAAGGGCAGTGTACAGTCTAAGTAGCATTCCACCCTGAAAAAGTTGAGAATTGTCCTACTCCCATGCAATGAAAATTTTAGGTGAGCATTACTCACATAACTTCTCCTTTTGCGTCTACTAATAATCACATGAAGAGCCGGGCGGACCCTCATAGGTGTTGCCAGTTTACAACATGAGAAGCTTAGTGGTATGGATTGGCTTTGAATGTGGGGCTTTCCATTAGCGACCTGTGAAATTCCGTCCCGCTCTTTTATTTTCCACCCACATTCGCCTGTAGTATTGAAGTTTTGATCTGCTCCCGCCCGCAAAATCCCATGGGAAAATGTACAAGTGCTTTCATTTTCACCACATCTTCACACTACCCTTTTGTTTCATTTGTTTCCCCATTTCAATTAAATACAAAGAAATGCAGATTATCCAAATATGTTAGTTTGAGTTGACTTTGTTCGGTTGTATTATGAATTAGGACCTTTTTCAGAACATAGAAATATCAACAAAACGGATGTTTTGTGGGACAAAATTGCTGAGGTAAAGTTTTAACACTAGACTTATGTAAACTCCTAACACCTACTAGCACTCTTTATATGTGAGGCACATTTGGATGCAGCAAACTTCAGTAGCCTGCCTCTGCACCAAATGATCTTGTTCTTCATGAATCAAAATGTTCCTAGGCTAGAAGACTCACGCTCATTATTTGGCAGAGATCACAACTAACACTTTAGTGCCTTTTTTTGTTTTTATCAATTAAAAAAATTCTAAAAGTAAATATTTTTTGTAAAATAATTAAAAGATTTTTCCATTTTGCAGGAGTCTTACCACTTGCACTGCTGCGGTACTCCTGCAGGAGTGCAGGTCTCGTCTTTACAAAGAGTTTCCAAGAATAGAGGGAGTAAAAGGCAATAGCTTGGTTACTTGTGTAACCCATCTTTTACTCAAATTGGGAAATAAAGTCTTGAGCTTTCCCACAGACTTCAAGCACGGTATGGAATACGTGTCTGTCTCTGTTCAATGAAAAATGTGAACTTCACCCACTCATGGCTTTACACCCTCAGGTAGGTGTGGTGTGCAAAAGTTCTCAGCTTGTGACAACCTGCAGCATTCACATGAGATTCTCAACATAACGTCTCCATTCTCAGCTCCAGGGAACGATGAATGCGATTATGTGTCATTTTTTAAATGTATTTACCACAAAGTGGAAGAATTTAAATTCTGTTCAGAGCATTATTGTGTTCTGTTCCCTGAATGTTAACCCAGCTTATCAACGCCTGTGATTTAAATGGCCCTGTGCATCACTTGAGGCTTCTTTTATTAGCCAGAGGGGCACAAAAAGTAACAAGACTGTCAGTCACCAGCTAAATTGCTACCATTCACAGAGATATGTCAGTCTTGATTTCCAGGGTTGCAGTGGAGTTTATCTCCCTCCCTTTCATTCAATTAGAATACAAGTTCTCATTTAAAAGTCCATGCGACGTGGAAAATACAATCATGCCTGTATCACTTTGTAATCACTAGTACTGAGTTCTCATTTAGATCAGCGAGGGGGATAAACCAGCACTCGAACACTTGATCATGCAAAGATTTCCCTCACAGTTGCCTTTTCTTGTCCTACACATGTATCCAGATGCTTTCACATGCACAAACACATCATACAGAAGCCCGACATGTGAGATAACCACCAAACCTTGGGTGACAGCCTCGGCTGGGCCATTATTGAATTGCAGTGAAGACTATATTACTTTAGAGTGAGATAAAAGACTACATGCAAGACAGATGGGAGGAGGACATCAAACAAGTCTGTGTCTGTATTGTGCCAGGAGTAATCCGGTTGAAGGCAGGCTTGATTTCCCTTAGGCCAGGTGCCATTTCTCCTTGAATAATTCTTCTCTTGCTTGGCCTTTCTCCATTCTCTGTCTCTTTTCTTTCTTTCCTCCCAGTTTCTCCAGTACACTTCTTCTATATATGTTGTACAAATGGTGGGCTCTGATGATATGATTGAAATTCTTCAAAATCTTTTAATTTCGCCAGGTGTACTGGGGCCTCTGCTAGATGCCTGAGCAAACAAAGGAGAAATACCCCAGGGAAATCCACAGCACCGACATGCAGGAAAACCTTCCAAAAGCAACAAGCGCCAGTGTCAAAGCGGCTTGCCGGCAACATGCTATTTATTATCTTAGGTATTTATTGGACTTGTCTCGGACCAGTGAGCATCATTCACGCCTTCAATGGCAAATTAGCTGTGATGCTCTTGTCAAGATAAAAAAAAACTAAGGAACACTCTCTGGGGTCTGTATGGTTTTCAGTAATAATAACGTCAGTGGTGTTTTTTTAAATGCTGTTGTGGTAATTTATTAACATGTAATTGGTGGTTTATTTTCAAATGAAAAACAAATTGGTATTATGATAGAGGCTTTGATCAGTATATTGCACCAGATATTTCAGTATTGGAGTGGTATATATTAACATTTCCGAACAAAACCATGCTAATAAGCAATCCACTTTCAAGAGGTCTCCTGACATGCACCAGGATTATTCATAGACGACATGTAGAACATCTAAAACAATTGGCGATCACCTCAGTCCTATGAAGTTTGGAACCACAAAGTAAAATGTTTAAAGTAAATTGAACTCTATTTCAGAGAGGGACCAAATACACTCTGAACAAAGTTAACAAAGCTCAGAGGCAGAGTTGAGGTTAATGAGGTAAAATAATGAGAATATTTAAGTTTTTATCATCATTTGATCATGGTGAGCATTTTTTGTTAACAAGCAAAATACCTATAGAAACAACAGAGAAACAAAAATTTGGAATTTTTTTTTCACAAATTTGGAAAAAAATTAACAAAATAAAAATGAACAAAATAAATTCCTCAAGTAGAACCAATAGTCAGTTCAGCTCTCAAAATATTGGGATGAAATATACTCAGAGTAGAGTTGATTTGACTCTAATGATTTTATTGTGAATTACCTAAAGTCCCTGTTTACATCCATATTATTTTCCCGTATGTCAACTATGACTAAGAGGTTTCATTCTGCACCTCACAAAATGTGCATAAACTAGGCATTTTTTTAAATTGAGTATCTAGAAACAACATTGAAAACGAAAAAAAAAAAAACATACAAATGCCTAAACAAGCCTATTATGTACAGTTAAGTATATAACTACTGTTAAAATGAGCAAGTTAAGGCATACAATTAGTTGAAATATTTTTTGTGTTTCTGTGTGTTCAACATGCAAAGAAGTATGGATAAAACCAAGGAAGAATTTTTGTCACAGTCTATTACATTAAGACGTTTATTTCCTGCTTTCATCGTTTTCATATGTCATGTGATCAAATTGCCATCACATGATCACTCATTCTGTTTTCCCGCAACATAAGCCTTTCGTGTGACAATAGTGAGTTTGCGAACAAAGCCTTGTCATTCGTTTATTTAGTTTAGTTTATTCCTCCTCCTTTGGTGAAGTCTTTTGTTATTCAGGTTTTCCCTACGAGGGTCTTTCATGTTTCCTGTAGTGTTTGTATTACTTGTTTTTGTGTCAAATAAACTATAATATGCCTTTCAAGCCAACAGTAGATTTGGAGGTAATTGATGGTTCACTGCAGGTCTGTTGTTTACATGAGAAAATCTAAATTCTAAATGAGAAAGATCCTGCTGGATATTTTAAAAACATATATGAAGATATGTACAGATTATCCAGTCCCTACAGTAATTATTTCCAACTCTCTCTTTCTTTAAGATGGATAGATATTCCTCTTCTAATCATTGAGATGGTCTGATTGATCAAGAACGCTTTGCATCATAACCTTCCCTCAGGGATTTATCTTGAAAACAAGTTGCTCCCCC